GCTTCTCAGCTTCTCCAGTTTCATGAGACATCTCCAGTAGAGTTTCACGACTTTAGCATGGCAGATCACAGATCACAAGTGAATTAGTTGGAGGAATTGTTCTGGCTGGCTTTGGCACCACCATACTATCAATTCTCATTTCAGGAGCAGTGAAGGTACTAAAATTTTTTCAAACTGGTTAAAATTTATTTACTCTTCACACGTATGTATGAGAAATATGAAAATAGACACAACCAAGTAAAATAATGAAATAGATAATATATACAGCTTATGGACGCAAGTCTCATATTTTAATTGTAGTTTTCGTATTTTAGATTTAACCATGAGGTTATATGTACTTCACCCTACCAGACCACTCCCTTTCTCAAGCACATGCAAGAGAAGTACATCTCTTGTGGCTTGATGTATAAGAAAAGGTTTTATATGGCCATAAACAAAGTGTTAATGAGGTTCAGTCATCTTAGAAATGGTATATTTTTCAATTTATGATTAGTTAAGTAAACAGTACTCTTAACAAGGTTAAAATGAAAAGGAAAAACGGGGGAAAAATTAAATAATAATAGTTACCATATATGCAATATTTGGTATGTGAAAGCCAGTTGCTTTAAGTAAACCATCTCTTATACTGCCAACGACCCCATAAGTAGGTATAATTATCTCCCTTTATAGATAAACAAACTGAAATTCAAGAATGATTTTCCCAAAATCACTGAACTAGTTAAAAAGAACAGCCAGGACTCAAACTGAAATGTCACTTTAAAGAAAATCAACTCTAACTCATTTCAAGCTATTTCCGGAACTTAAATTTCTGTGATAAAAAAATTTCATCAAAAAGCAGTTACCTTCCCTTCATCTGTAGAAGATAAGACAAAAACTCAGTGCAGAAACAGCTCTTGTCATTGATGAATATTCCTTCCTTAGTTTTTTCCTATTAGTTACATGAACAAGCAATTTCAGGACAAAAATCCCGTTATTAGATGCTTTCAAAACTCACCATTCTCAACAGCAGCTGGGCTCTCACAATGGAGGACGGAAGAAAGCAATGAAGATGAGAGGTGATAAGAGAGGGGAGGGGAAGGAAATGGAGGGAAGCCCATAAAATGTACTTTTCAGATTAAAATATCATGTATCTATGTCCTTTCCTTTCCGTTTCACTGCCTAGCAATATGACACACCTCAGACAAAGTTATATTGGATTGCATCTATATTCTGAGGGGAGAAAATAAAAAACACAATATATAAATTTCACTCCTAAATATATAAATTGTGTATTATGTGAACTGCTTTTAAGTTCTATGAATTTCAATAACACACTAATTTACTTTGGTTTTTTAGAAAATAAATCTTACCATTAAATTTTGAAGCTTCAGGATCATTTGCATTGATAGCAATTAATTTCCAATCTGTTTCACCTTCATCAATCAGAGCCAAAATTCCAAGAATCTTCACATGAATAACCTCTCCACGAGAAAGAACCTTTAAAGAGAAAAGAAGTTCACCATTTGCAAAGCTTTTGACAATTTACTCAAATATCATAAAAACCAATCTGAAAGATCAAAAGGGCTATAGACTGAAATTTAATAAAGTTTCAATAATTGAAATAATGTAAAAATAGTCATCAA